GGAAACCCTGTACAGGGTCACTATGAGTCAGAACCGACTCCACGGCACATAACAACAACAACAATTATCGAACTATTTTCCTCATAAATGACATGCACCTAGCAAGTCAATAGTAATGAACATCCAGACAAATGCTGCTGGGATGGTAAAGGTTATGTGTCAACTCAACTCGGCTGAGCCAGGATTCTCAGCAGTTTGACGGTTAAGTAATGATGCAGTCTGGCAGTTACATAATGATGGAAGTTGGTAGTTATGTAATGCAGTCAATGTCCATTTTGTGATCTGATATGATCACTTGCAATTTTTCTGTAACACCAATTTTTGCCTAACAACCTGGTCTTCGGAATCTAACCGTGTTGAAAGTGAGGAGTGGGGGTGGGGTAGCTGTAAAGCATGATGACAAATGCATGAGGCTAAATATGAGTATGTCCATCAGTAACCAACAAGACTTTCTGTCAGTGATGACTTAACCACTGTGGGGCAATTCAACCTACAGCTGCCAGAAACCAAACACTGCCATTAGACATCTCTGACAGTTCTAAAGAGAGCTATTGACAAGGCTTAGCACAAGGATAACTCACTGTGATACAAACTGACCATGTGCCTATTTCTACATCTGGATACCTGAAAGTTCTTTAAATGGCTACAGATGATAATTTGGCCTGAGCAAGTCACTGGCTATATCTAGTTGTTATGTCTGCAGTAACATTTGTCCAAATCCAAATATGAAACTTTAGCTAATAGTCATAACATCTGTCATCTTTATAGCATTGCATGCTTTGCAAGTGCTTTGTTTAAAAAAACAATATTTCACGTAACAGGAACTGTTTGTGGAGCTCCCATGTATGGCAATAGGTGGGGAAGGAATTACTAAAAATCCAAAATGCTGTAATCGTTTCATGCAAACTAATTTCAAACTCATGCAATTTTTGTGCTCAAATGAAATACTACTATACAAAAGGTCATTTATTTCATATTTTGAAACTGAGGGGAAAAGGAAGAAACTAGGAATAAAGATTTAACAATTAACCTGTTAAATTTCATAATTTCAATGAAATTCTAAAAACTTTCTCTAGGAAAAAGCTAAATTTTCTCTTAAGTTTGTTAAGTACTATGCTCAAACAGGTAAAAGACTCTAAAATTTTAAAATTTTGCTGTGGGTGAAAATGATTTATTATTAGATTAGCCAGAATGGCTAAGAAGCTGTGAATTGTTGTTGTTGTTAAGTGTTGTTGAGTCGGTTCTGACCCACAGTGACCCTGTATAGGGTTTCCGAGGAGCAGCTAGCTGGTGAGCTTGAACCACCAACCTTGCGATTGAAACGGCTTTGCTGACTGGCGTATTAACCCACAACACCACACCAGGAAGCTGTGAATATGATCACCAAAATGTGTTTGAAAATGAATTTTAAGACAAAAATTAAATAAAAGCATCTCATTCTTTACTGAAAAAAAAAACTTGTTTTAAGTGTCTTTCCTAAAAAATGTTCAACATTGGCAGAGGCGATCCCATGGAAAGCGAGAGCAGCTGCAGCCTTTAGGGTCCTTGGACCAAGGAAGGCTGTGTGCCTGCGGGCAAGAGGCTGGTTTGCAGAACATGTCTTTAGGACAATTGTTGTTGCTGTTGTAAAGTACCGTGGAGTTGGAACCGACTCATAGTGACCCTGTACAGGGTTTCCAAGGATGTAAATCTTTACAGGAG